ATGATTGTAATGGAATAGGATACTAGGATAGTACTCGTATAATATTGTCCGACATTTTTATTTTTCTCAAAAAAAAAAAAAAAAGAAAAAGGGAGGAAAAACTAAAGAAGGATAATAGTTAACAACAGTAGCTGATTCAGCCAGTGCATGTAAATTGATATGAACAACTAACCAATGGCGGGACAGATGTCTCCATTCAATTAATATATCTACGAGAAAGTAGAAATGGAGCAATGTTATGAATTTGTTGGTACATAACATGACAATTCGTAAATATTTTAAAAATTAACATTAGTATCACTGATATGTGAAATATATCATGATTATTACAATAGTATTGTAAATAATTAATTATACTAAAGATTGTTACAATAGTATACTTTTGAAGCTAATATAAGTACCACTAGATTGTGAAATTATTCCATTGGAGTCTAATGATATAATAATAATTGTAATGGTATTAAAATGACTATATTGGTACAATTAAAACCTGAAGATTAAAGTGATAATATGTGGTCACATCATCTTTTTATTGTACTAAGTTACCATTATACCTCTGTTATGTATCAATAGGTACATAACTTTCCTCCATTTAAAATGCCTCTATATCTATTGCATTCTTATTTAACTCATTTAACAATATAGGTTTAGTAAAAATATAGTAGAAGTGAAAGTTATGGTTTTTTTTTCCATGTAAGATTTAGAGAGGTAGAAGTTAGTTGTATAAAGAATAGAATAGTGTATAGACATTTATATCCCTAAAATATTTATGTACATATTTTCCTAATTAAAGTAACCAACAAGTGAAAATAATCCCGAACATTGGTAACTATGACGCGCGCATTAGCCACCATAATTTATGTAAATTTAGTTTGATAAATTGTAATGACTTTTTGTATAAGCTTTGATTTGATCTGATTATCATTTATTTCTTGAAAGCAAGTTTATTGCATTTCTATGTTCATCAACATGTTGTAGGCTGAATGAATTGAAGGCATAAGAGATGAGATAATTTAAAGCAGAGGGGAATGAAACCAGGTATATATAAGATATTGTACGAGTACGAGGGTGGTCATAAAATTTGCCCAATACGGAGTAATAATTACTATGTACCTCAGTATACTTTTGTTTTTTGTTGACTTTGAGAGTTTGTTACTCCGAAGGTAACTGTTTTAATATTTGATAATAAGCATTTATGATTTTAACAATGATTCTTATGAAATTAATTATTCTGCTTTTGGTTGATTATGATTATTTGATACTGGAATTTTGGGTGCTAGTGTGCTACTTATCCAATGCAAGGAGGTTAGGAGGTAGCTCCTCGTAGTGGGAATGCGAACAACTTTATTGAGAACTTTTACATATACTTTATCTACATTCGCAGCAGTTATGGGATATGTTTATGATGTCTTATTACTTATTGTTACTTAATATTTTGCAGATACTAATCAATCGCCCACCACATTCCAAAATTATTCCATCTTGGGGTAAATATGGTGGTCGAATTTTTCTGCATTCGTGTTCATCACCAGTATTAGGGGTTACGTCGAATGGATTGAACACCCCGAAATGTGCATCGTGCCGAATACACACCATTCCCTTACATACAGCACCCTTGAAATATACTCACAGTGTTTCTAAGTATAGACAATAGAACCCGAAGATGAATATTTTTCCATAGAAATTTCTCCACCATCGAACTGAATAATTTACAAGGATCGTAATTTACCGGGCCATGGAGCATATATGGGTATAGGATGAATAACCACAACACTCATTAAAGTAAGGATATTGGCAAAATAATCTAACCCAAAAGCGGGCGTGCGATGAAATTGGAATCGGGGGGAGAGCAACCCAATTAATGGATTGCATATGTAGTAATACTGATGCTTATGATGATCCTTTTCCTCACTCAAATCTAAACACAAAACTAGGTCTTTGCAAGTCGCCACAACTCTCAACGATGATGACAAACAAGGAAGAAAATTGAGGGTGAATTTTGAAGGATTAAATATCTTGTGAGTTGGGATTTTTTTTTGAGAATTCATCAGTCTAGTCATTCTCATCGTTGACAAAAACGTCCATGGTAGTTGTTCCTTCTGTGTAAGGGAAGATTATTGTTATGGTTTAGGTATTCTATAACATATCTAGGGTTCGAGAGTAGAGATAACCAACGCTTTGATACTAATTTGCATTTAATCACTGTTCCATAATTCTCATGTCTAACAATTATCTCAATCAATAACTCATCAGCAAGATCATTACTTCTCTCTCTCTATTTTCAACCCATTTTTCCGGGAGTTTCTCAAGAGTCTGATGGTGAATCGTTGGCGACCACCCAGCCACGACCAGGCTATCTTTTTCCCTTTCAACTATTCCGTCAAAATGAAGAACGCTTCGATTGTAAGGTTGATTGTGTAATTTTAGGGCTGAATTTTGAGTTATCTATTGCTGAAATTGTATTTATTGTGATTTAATTAACTACAGGGTTTGGTGAAGAATTGGGAGAATTCAGGCGACTCTGCAAAATTCTGATTCTGAGCAAATGGCTGCACAGGTTCGGTTATTTAACTGTTATACTGTTCGTTTGTTTGATTGAAGAAGCTTATGACCCTTTAGTCGAAGCAGTGAGTCTTATACTGTTCGTGACAACATTAGAAGTAAATACCTCTCTCCTTTGAGGGCAGCCTTAAGGGTGAACAAAAAAATAGTTCACAATGAGTGAACAAGTGAATGGGTGGCTTAATGGTGATCTCTATAATTGTTCATAGTGAATGGTTGTGGGATCGATTGCTGCTTCAAGCATTTGGACGAATTTATGGATTGTGGGCCCCACTCATTTTTATTTTTTTTTCAGGAAAAAAATAGAAAGCAGCGGCTGGGAGCGCGCCACTTGGCCCAGCCGCTGCTTGACACGTGTCACTGTTTTAAATAAATCCGTTGTAATTTTGCAACGGATATATTTTACAAAACACAAATCAAAAAAAAAAAAAAAATTACCAACGGCTCTATTTTTTTCCCCTCTATAAATAGACACCCATATTGCTATACTTTCTTCAACTTTGAAAATCCATTTCTTTCTACTATATTTTTCTCTTCAAAAATCCCCTCTATAATTATTATTATTATTATTATTATTATTATTATTATTATTATTATTATTATTATTATCATCATCATCGTTATTATTATCATTTTTATTATTATTATCGTTATTATTATTATTTCCTTTATTATTATTATCGTTATTATTATTATTTTTATTATTATTGTCGTTATTATTATTATTAAATTTTTATTTTTTCCAAATATAAATTATAATTATGGATGCTAATACCAACCCCAAAACAAATAGAAAGAAGAAAAAAAAATTTGGGTCAAAATATGATCCTTCAAGCTCGTTTTGCCATTATTAAAAAGCCGTCTTTGGCGTGGGATACCGACATACTCCACAATATCATGCTCGCCTGCATCATAATACATAATATGATCGTTGAAGATGAACGAGAGACGTATCAAAATAACGTTAATACCAATGAGTTTATGAATGCTGGAGGCAACGCTAATGAGGACACTACTGAGTACCGTACTGATCGTATTGTGGATATCGGCTTATACTTGTCTCGTAGAACAGAGATTGAGGATCAATAGACTCATTTGCAGCTAAAAAACGACTTGGTCGAACATATATGGAATAAATTTGGTAACAACGAAAACTTAGGCAACTAGGTTTACAACAAATGGTTATCCCTAAGGACATCTTACAAAACGATGTGTAGTTGTTTTTTTTTTTTTTAAATAAAATGTACTAGATTATAGTTGTAGAACTGTAATCACGATTTGTACCTCTTTTTTTTTGTTAATTAAAATTAGCTGCGTTGTTGTTTAAAAAATATTAATCACAAGAATTAGTTTTTTAAAAAGCTGATAAAAAATGCGATAATTTCTTAATTAGTAATCACGATTAAAATATTAAATACGTCAATTAATTACATTGACATCGGGTTAATAAATTATAATTATGAAACAAAAAAAATTATATTTACAAAAATAAAATAAGGTGGGGTAGGGAGTATTGATGATGAACCATTGTTTAGTGTTCATTGTTAAGAGTGAATATTGTAAATGGTTTGTTGGGTTGATGTGGATGAGAGAGAAATGGTGATAGTGACCCATGAACCATTTATTTGGGTTCACCAATAAAGATGCTCTGAAGTTTTTTAAATTTGGTAGAACTTAGAAGTTGGCCGGACTATCTTTTTTCTTTTAGTTTCTTTTTGTTGGGAAAGGGTCCTCTTGAAAGTGGGTCCATTATTTCTTTAGCTCGTATGTTGTACTCATAAGGTTGATGAGAAACTTTGGCATCTCTTTTCTAACTAAAACATAGCCTCAGGAGTTGCTTAGTTAGTGACTACAACTTTATGTATTATTAATTTAGTGGATATGTTTCAGGGTCAATGGGTTCATGAATCAAAAAGGGTTGTGTTGTAGAATTAAACTAAGTGATTTTTATCCAATTGGGGTTTTGCTTTGTTGGTGATGTTATTGTTTGTGAAGTGTTCTTTGGTACCCTTATAGGGTTAGATTTAATACTCATTTTGCTGTTGTTTTTATTTGCCGAATCATTGGAGAAGCAGAAAGGTTCAGAATTGTTTCTTGAATCATTTAGCAAATTATGGTTATGGGGTTTGTAGATTTTGCAGGTTTTTGATGAATTTTTGTTTATTTGCAGAAATGATGAGATTACGAGATGAGAGCTTCAATGACTCTCAATTTAAACGCCCTTCTGGTGCTTCTCGAGGAGAATCGTGAGTGCTCTTTCGATAACTGTCAGAACAATGTCAATTTAAACGACCTTTTGGTACTATCAGGTTTATTAGAGTTGATATTTAATTTTTCACCTTTGCCTTTTTTTAATTATTTGTGTTAGACTGTTATTTATACATGTTTTTTTTTATCTAATTGATGATTGTCTATGGTGCTTGCGGTGGGATAAAAACATGGTAAATGTAATTTTTTCTAAGGGGCTTTCATATATCTTATTTTATGTTGGTCTAGGCTTCTAGCTGTTACCTTGTTCTTGGTGAAATTGGCAAAGCATCACTACATTTCAAGAGACGGTTGCAGTCAACTGACATTTGTATGGAGCGGAAAATTATTCTAGAAGCTTTTGTTGGCCTACAAAAGGCTCAGGTACCCTCATCTTCTCTGTTATTTTTTTTCCCAAAAATGGCCATTAACAATAACCTTGATAGTAGTTTGTCAATATAATTAACCCTTGAAATGTTATCATTACTGCTATATGCCTTGTCATATTGGTACTGGAAGGGTTATAATTGATGTTAACCTTACATGTTTTAGTTACTTTTTTGGGTGTGTTGAGTTTTGATTTTTTTAAAATGATAATTTGGAATTTTGGGTTGAGGTTTTAGTAGGATAAGGGGTGTCTGATGTGTTTTTTGTTTTTGTTTTGCAGCAAGAAGACGAGGAGATGCCTGTGCCCCATTCTGATGTCGTCACCAATGGTTTGTTTTCGAAAACTGACAGTCTAAGCTTCAATAGCATTGTTACTTCTTAATATGGCTATTAAAGAGCTCACTTGCTCTGCTTTGTCAAATTTTAGGGTGGAAGAGTAAGTTCAAGCTCAATTCTGTCTAGTTGAGGAGGAGATCAGACTAAATACTTCTTCTAGGTACCTCTTCTCGTAGTTGGGCTGCATCTGTTCTTCAATATTGGAGTAGGTAACTGATTCCCTCTTAATCCTTTAGTTGGTGGGTTATTTAACATCATTTAACTTAATCATACCCTTCAAATACTCTTAAATTTTTTTTCTTGATGAACTTTGTCTATTGTTGTTTATAAGGACAAAATTGATTTGATTGCCTTTGTTCACCACAGTTTTAGCTATTACTTTAGTGATTATTTCTGAGCAGGAATTTTATTTACCAGCTTCTACCTTTGTTCTCTGATCAGGTATATGAGAAGAAAACAAGCCCAAAGTGGCGTTTTGACCTTGGAGAAAAGAAAATTTTTCAGCAGGTTAGTATGTTTGTGTGTCTGAAATCATTCTACAGTGAGTTTCAAAACTGACGATGTATGCAAGTATTGCCATGTTTTCTAGATTTTTTTTCATTACATTATGCTTAGCAGCTTGAGCATATACAATGTTTTTACTGCATTAATACATAAGAATGGGTTCGATATAGGTTTCATGTTAAACAGAATGATACCTTCTGCTGCAATATTAGGAAATCTAAGCTTTTGCAGAATATAAGTAAATGTTTGATGTTTACCGGGTGTTTGGAACGGACAAGAAGTATTGGCTTAATCCCACATATGCAGGTTAAGGTCTACGAAGGATGCCAAAACTTCAGGGTCTAGATTATCCATCAAAGACTGACCTTGACGCACAAGAATTTTAAGACGTGTTGGTTTAATATCTTTGGCATTCAGAAGTGTTCCTTGAACAATAGATTCTTAGGGAGAGAAATTTGAGGTTAGGGTTTGGGAATTTGGGGGAAAATAAGAAAATATGAAATGGGATGTACTAAATGTCTGAATGTAACAAGTAGAAAAAAATAAAAAAAAATTAGGAGGGTTAGGACTCGAACCAAGACCTCTAACTAGGAGTGAATTCTGCATTTCTGCTAAAAATTACCAATGCGCCAATATTCAGCATTTGATTATTTCCTCACAAATATTTCTTTTAACCATTTTCTGTTTTTTTTAAATAAAATAAATTAAAACTTATAATTTTTTTTCAAAAAATCTGTGGGTTCAATGAGCCCTCGTGAACCCTGATTAGGGGATTTTGCTCCCACCAATCGGAATGCGCCACGTGGACCAATCAGGTCCTGCCAAGTGTCTCCTAGTTGGAACTGTCAGGGCTTGCCACGTGGCACGCGCTTATTCGTCCACCTTGGACCTGTTATGTCACGACATGTGGCATACTCCATGCCTAATGGAGAAACCGGCCACCCAGGCCCAACTTCCGAGGGAAGCCCAATCGGCCCTAGGTTAACCTAAACCTAAGATGGGCACGTTTTCCAAGGTTATAAATACCTCCCTTAATCCTCATTAAGAAAAAAACACAGAAACATTACGGAAAAAACACATTAATTACACACAGTAATAACCGGCTGATCTCGCTAACAAAGCAGATTACCTACGTTAATCACTCTCACCTAGAGAGACCTAATCACTTTAATTTCCGCATTAATTACTCCTTAATCGGGTACTAACTTGACCGTTGGAGGCGGAGCTCACAGGAGTCTCCGTTATTTTGCAGGTACAGGCGTCCGGTTCCAGTCTCGGAATTGAAACTCTCTCGCAGGACATCAGAAAACCCCGAAACATTTGGCGCCGTCTGTGGGGAGAGTACTTCTGAGATGGCATCCAAGTCTGTACCGACCCCTGAAGAGAGGCGTCCCCTAGACGACCCTCAAGTTCAGTCGGACCATGATACCGAAAGTGAATTCGAAGTTGAAGCTCATACAGCTTCAGACGGGACCCTAAGGGCCCGACATACCCGTCATACCGAAAGGAGGGAACGGGAGCATCTTCAAACAGGAAGCGAGCCAGCAGGCGCACCGTCTGTTCGGCAACAGCCGACTGATGGGTCTGCTCCCATCACAAGGAACGAATTCATGACCTTCATGAGGGACTTCAAGGGAGAGATTCAAGAGTTGATCAACAAGAAGCCGCCTGCTCCAGTCAAGGAGCAGTCGGCCAAGAAACCCTCCACTTCACTGAAGAGGAAGCCAGTTCAAGGGCGAGAGGCGACTCCTCATCCTAAATCTAGGAAGCGGGAGCCACCTGCCCTTGATTTCACAAAATTCCGTTATCCTACAGGAAATAGGAAACCTGTTCGTCATATTCAGGCGGACGGGTCGAAGCAAACATTCACAGATGCTCGGCTACTGCTAGAGCAGAAGAAGAGTGACCGATTGTCAGAGTCGGCCTCTACTTCAAACTTTCAAGACAGTTTGCGAAATGCCTCGATGAGGCATACTCAGTCGTACCATGAGAGTCAGTCAGGCGGCACCTCCCGTCAGTCCGGCTTTCATAGTGACCAGGCGGTACCAAACTTACCATTTGTGCCGCAACAATAGTATTTTTTGCAGCCACCTCCGTTTGGTGGACCTGCAGCAAAAAACGTCCAACCTATGGACTGGCAGCTACGGTTGCTTAGACTTGGTGAACAGCCTTCCGCCTTCTCCAAGGAAATTACTGAAGCCGCTCAGCCGGCCAAAGTGAAAAATGTACTAGTAGGCGCCTATGACGGCACTACTAACCCAGAAGACCATCTGATGGCATTCACCAACCTGATGTACCTTCTTGGATGATCCCACTTGGTGCAAGTGTTTCCCAGCGACTCTCAAAGGAATCGCACAACAATGGTTCGGCAACCTGCCGACTGGTTGTGTAAATAGCTTCAGGACGCTTGCTTACTTATTTGCCTCCAACTTCGCCATGAACATCCCTGCGAAGAAAACGACCCTTGATTTGGGAACAATTCAACAGGGCGAGAAGGAGGGGCTTCGTTCTTACATCAGGCGGTTTAACCTGATGAGAATACAGATTCAAGGGTTACCGGATGAGGTAGCTTATACTGACTTTTTCAGAGGTCTCAAAGACGGGTCTACCTTCAAATTTGATTTGGTTCGAAAAAGGGTGGCGACTCTTCAAGAGGCCTTGATTGAAGCAGAAGCCTATATACAGGCGACTGATCTTTGTACGATAAAACAGTCGGACGGGAAAAGGTTCGACAAAAGAGAAGGACGACAGAAACAGTCGTCAAACAAAGATGAGAAAAGAAAAGAGGTCTAGGCGGCTGATTCCTCTAAACAGCCGGCCCAGAAAAAGAAAAAAGAATTCAAACCATACTCCCCAAAGTATGCGTTTAACAAGGATAACCAGTTTATCCTAAAAGAAATCAAGGGACGGATCTCAATTGAGAAGCCGGTCCCCATGAAGGGTTCTGCAAGCAACCGGAACCAAGATAAATTCTGTGCTTATCATGATGATGTTGGTCATCACACCAATGACTGCATCAGTCTCATGCGGTATCTAGACCGCCTGGCGGAGCAAGGTGATCTTGACACTTATGTCAAGAAATCTACGGGGAACACTTCCTCAAAAAAGCATTCGGCCAAAAAGCATTAGCAGGCCGACAGCTCTGATACAGATGATGCAGTCGTCTACACCATTGCAGGCAGCTTCTCAGGAGGCGGCCCCACTATTAGGGGCAACAAAGACAATATCAGGCGGTTAGATATAAATTCCGTTCACCAAGAACGGTCGTCCAAATATTCATTTCCTGAGATTGTCATCACTGAAGAAGATCTAGGAGGGGTAAGGGGGCCGCATGACGACCCTCTCGTTATTGAATGTAAAGTGGCCAACCAGAGAGTTGGCCGAATCCTCATAGATACCGGAAGCTCCTCAGATCTCATCAGTAGCAAATGTCTGTCGAAACTAAAATATCAGACTGATTGCATACATCCGGCCTCCCACCCTTTAGTAGGGTTTGGAGGAGGAGTCGTCCACCCACTGGGACGAGTAGATTTACCCATCCGCCTGGGCGAAAAAGGGGAAGGACGACACATGGTAGTCCGGTTCCTAGTAGTAGAGGAACTCTCGGCCTACAACATGATTCTGGGTCGACCAACCCTGAATAATTCCAAGGCTGTTATAATCCCATCTCTTATGTTGCTCAAGTTTGAGAGGGATAATGGAACAGTCGGCTCCCTAAGGGGAGATCAGAGGATGGCCCGAGAGTGCTATCTCTCGGATGTCAAGCCCACTGTTATGGCCACTGGGTCAAGCGGTGAAAAAACAGACCTTGACAATGTCAAGGAGAGTGCGCCTGTTCAAGAAGCAGGCGGCAAAAAGAGAAAGGCATCCCAGATAGGGGCCGCAAGAAAAGAAAGAAAATAGCAATCATTGGCAGAGGAGCGGTCGGATGAGTTCCGCCCTCAGCCGGCTGGTGAGCATGCGGACCTTATCTTAGACGACTCACGTCCTGACCGAACAGTCAAAGTTGGGACGACTGCTCTGAGAAACCTTGGTGACGAGTTTCACAAACTCTTGAAAGAATACAAGGACATCTTTGCATTCGAAGTCCATGAAATGCCAGGCATTAGTCCTGATCTGGCGGTACATAAACTGGCTGTGGATCCAAAAAAGAAGCCGGTACGGCAGAAGAAACGGAACCATGGCGAAAAAAGAAGTCAGGCGACAGCCGCCGAAGTGAAAAAATTACTTGATGCAGGGTTCATTCGGCAATGTTACTTCCCAGACTGGGTTGCAAATGTGGTGCTTGTTAAAAAGCCGAATGGCACCTGGCGAATGTGTGTAGACTACACAGACTTAAACAAGGCGTGCCCCAAAGACAGTTACCCTCTGCCTAAAATTGATAACCTGGTCGACTCAACAGCCGGCCATGCCTTGATGAGTTTTATGGACGCCTATTCTGGTTTCCATCAAATTCCTTTATGGAAGAAAGATCAGGAGAAGACGGCCTTCGTCACTGATCACGGGTTATACTGTTACACGGTCATGCCGTTTGGTCTTAAGAATGCCCCGGCTACCTTCCAACGAATGATAAACACTGTGTTCTTTGATCAGATTGGGAGAAACGTCGAGGCATACATTGATGATATGATTGTCAAGACTAAACTTCAGAAAGATCATCTGTCGGACCTCCGAGAAACTTTCGCCACACTCAGGCGGCACCATGTCATGCTCAATCCCAAGAAATGTGTATTTGGAGTTGAGTCTGGGAAATTTCTCGGATTCCTTATCAATCAGAGAGGAATAGAGGCGAACCCTGAGAAGGTGCAGGCGGTCATTGACATGCAGTCGCCTCGTACCATCCGAGAGGTTCAGAAGTTAACAGGTTGTCTGGCGGCCTTGGGAAGATTTCTAAGCCGATCAGACGACAAATGCCTATACTTTTTCCAGGCAATTAAGAAAAAGGCAAGGTTTGAATGGGGGCCGGATGCTGAGGCCGCCTTCCAGAAATTAAAAGTTCACTTGCATTCCTTGCCGAGGCTGGTCAGCCCTTTTCCCAAAGAGGTTCTCTACATGTACCTGGCCGTCTCTGATCATGCGTTAAGCGCTGTTCTCCTTGCTGAAAGGGACGGCTGTCAGCTCCCGGTCTACTTTGTCAGTCACGTACTGAAAAATGCTGAGTTGAGGTATCCCCTAGTGGAGAAATTTGGTCTTGCACTCTTCATGGCTGTTAAAAAATTGAAGCCCTACTTTTTGGCACATGCAGTCGTCGTGTATACAGACCAACCTATCAAGCGGCCACTTACCATCATGGAGTCGTCAGGACGAATGATCAAATGGGCCATAGAAATACAGAGCCTCGAAGTTACTTTCGAGCCTAGAAAAGCAGTGAAGGGGCAAGCCTTTGCTGACTTTATTGTAGAGATGACTCGTCCTCCTGCCTCTCAAGTTCCAAACCAAGTATGGAAGGTATATGTGGACGGAAGCTCTACTTCAAATGGTTGTGGAGCAGGCGTCATATGTCAGTCGCCAGAGGGCGACAGGTACGAGTATGGTCTACGCTTCAGTTTTCAGGCTTCAAACAATGAGGCAGAATATGAAGCTTTACTAGCCGGGATCCGCATGTGCAAGGCGGCAGGGGCAAGAAAAATAGACGCCTGTTCCGATTCACAATTGATAGTGAGTCAGCACAATGGCGAATACGAAGCAACCCATCCGGCCATGATTAAGTATTTACAGGCGGTCCGACAAGCAGTCGACTCCCTTGAAGATTTCCATCTAATCCAAGTG